GAATAAATGAATCACAGAGTCCAACTTGTCTCTCAACTGTTAGTAATATATGACATAGATAACAGGGCATGTTAGAGAATAAATAATCTTTGATCAGTGCACCTAGTAGGTGCTTAACAAATGCTCACTGCCTACAAACACAAGAGAGTGGAGAATGCCCCCCATAACCTATCCACTTAAGACTGGGGGGCTGGGGCTCAGTTGTACTGCACTTGCCTGGCATGTATGAGGCTCTTAGTTTGATTCTCAGCATCATGTATAAATAAGTAAAATAAAGGTCTATCAACAACTAAAACAATAATTTAAAAAAGGATTGAAAGAGACTCCCTTATTTTGGAGGAAGGCATACTAGGGATTTAACCCAAGGGTGCTTTACCACTGAGCTAAATCCCCTGCCCCATATACATATATATTTGTTTCTTTGAGACAGGTCTGGCTACATTGTCAAGGCTGGCCTTGAACTTGCCATCCTCCTGTCTCAGCCTCCCAAGTCACTGAGATTACAGGTATGCACACTGCAACTGGCAGTAGTCTCCCATTTTGTATAGTGGCTATGCTCCAAAACCTCCAGTGGATGCCAAAAACTGGATAATACTGAACCCAGGCTATATTTTTCCTTTATATACATTCCTAGAGTTTAATTTATACATTTGGCACAGTAAGAGCTTAACAATAGTAAAATATGATAATGATAACAATATACTATACTTGAAAGTTATTTAAGATTTATGAATTGTTCATTTCTGGAATTTCCATTGAATATTTTCAGGCTGTGACAGACAGGGTCACTGAACCCAGGAAAAGGGAACCATGGATAAGTTCCCCATGGATAAGGGGACTCTGGTAAACAGATTCCAGGATGGTCCCACATGGTGAGGAGAAAGACCCACGGATCCTCACAGGAGGGCAGCCATCTCTCCACTGCAGAATCACCTGGCAGGCTCCTTAGAGCACAGGTTGCTGGGACCCACCTCCAGAGTTTCCCAATCAGTAAGCCTTAGAGAGGACTCATGAATTTGCACTGCTAACAGATTCCTAGGTATTGATGCTCTTACTTCAGGAACATTTTCAGAACAACTTTCCTGCTGTCAAAGATAGCAAATTCTAATAGTTATTCCAAAGACGAAGCAGCCAGCTGAGAGGCAGAGTCCATCAGAAGGTACAGCAGGGAACTGCCTAGAGGAGCCACATTTGCAAATATTATTAAACCAGTCCCTAAAAGTAAGCCTGGAGCTGTGGGATGTGGTGCATCAATGTGGTTATCAAACCATGATCCTCTGACCCTGCTGCAAAGTCCCTTGGAAAAACTGGGGAAAGGCAGATTCTGATCTGTGCCATCCAGGAATTTTTTGGCAATCCTATTATGGATTCTTATTGAAATTAGATAACCACTGGAGTGTACCAGAACCTTAAGGAGGTCAGTGACAACATTCTGTGAGGTACTCTCAGAACTAGAACCTATAGTGGAATACAGGCAGCAAATTCTGAGGGTAACAGAGGAAGATGGGGAAGGAAGGTTTGCTGAGCAGATTCATGCACTGTGTGCCAGGCCTCTGGTAGAGACCATTGTCTGACTCCCCTGGGGAAACCCTGTTTAGCCCCATTTCACAGATGAGGAACTGAGACTCAGAGAGGTTTACTGTTCCGGTGTTGAAGATTAAACACCCAAGAAATGCAAATGCAAGTATAAAAAACAAGTTTTATTTAAGAAAAGGACAAAGATAGACTTCTCTCAAGAGAAGAGACCCCAGAGCTAAGTGTCTGTGAGAGGGGGTGCAACTTGTTCTTTTATAGACCTCAGAATCCCTCTCTTAATTATTGCTTTCTGTTTCTTCCCCCCCCCCCATATGTGACTAAGGGCAGTGAAGCAAGGTTCATTGTTAACAACCCAGAGTGCCCAGAAGCACAATCACAGAGGTTAACAACCCATTGTTCTCTGATTGATAACAGGTCATCATCCTCTCTGGTCATCACCCCCATATGAATGTTGGGGGTGATGAATGTTGTCATCACCCCCAACATTCATACCCTACACTGACTACCTGACCTTTGCCTCTTCCTTTTTGCTGAAGAATGTGACACATCCTGTCCACTCAGGGTAGGCAGGTCTTCAAGCAGATTGCTTTTTGGCAAAGAAAGTATGGAGGGTGGGGGGTTCAGCACAGTGGGCTCATTTTATGGAATTATTCTCTTAACCTCATATTCCTGCCATCCCCTTCTATCTGTCCCCTTACACAGCTAATAAGAAGAGTCCAGATTCGAATCCACAATGCTGATTCCAAATTCTGCCTTCTGTCTGCCATATCATATCACAGAAACTGAATACAAGGCAGGACCAGCAGGAAGCCCCAGGAGGTGAGAGAAGCTTCCAGTGGAAAAAAGACAGCAGGGAGGAGAGGTTCCGGGAGCTGTGGTCTTGGGATACCCCCATCTGTGCAAGGTTCTGCCATAGTGACACCCTTCCTGACTTTACCTAGAACCATATTTCTACCCTATTTCATACCAAGCTGAAAGCAACTTCACGGGATGAAAAGAAACCACCCACCCCAATACACAGGAAGGCCTGGTGCACTTTTCAAAGAGCAGGTCTACATCTCCCACCCCCTCCAGCCCATTTTTATGTCCCTAGTACTTAAATATCACCACCTAATTAGGCAATTTTTGACAATTCTCTGAAGTTCAGTTTTATTCTCTGGAAAATGAGAATATTAAGACACAATGGTATTGTGAGTAAGAACTGAAGCACATATAAAGAGCTATGATCTTGAGACTAAGACCCTACAGAGGCACACGATGTCATTACTGTCATCAACATCACTCATGTTTCTTCCCCCTCTGCCACCTGGATACTGGGAGTTGAACCCAGGGTGCTTTACCACTGAGCCACACCACCAGTGCTTTGCTTTTTATTTATTTATTTATTTATTTATTTATTTATTTATTTATTTATTTATGAGCAGGGTCTTGCTAAGTTGCAGAGGCTGGCCTTGAACTTGCAGTCCTCCTGAGTCTGCCTCCCAAGCTGCTGTAAAGTGCACCCAGCTACTCATGTTTCCACTGGTAGTACATGCCAACAGTTTGATACACAATTCCAAAGGACCATGGTATTACAATTTTGCCTACTGTTTAAAACATGCAACATTGTTTTTTTGTTTCTTTGTTTCTGTCTGTACCACCGGGTTGGTCAAACTGTATTTTTAAAGACATCATTAGAAACAGTGAAGCAATAGTGATCTCTTGTGGAAGTGAACAGTATTTCCCAGTTTTTATAACCTAATACTGAAACACAGGATATTTTCCAGGCCCACTGGTGGAAAATGACCCATTTTCAGAGTGACTTTTCAAAGTTCAGTGCCTAAAACATAAGGCCATATTTAGGAGCCTTTCCTTAGAACCATAAAAAGTTTTTTTTTTTTTTCTCCTGGACCCCAACCCTCTAGCTCTAAGTTCCTCAAATCACCCCGATAAGCCTAAGGCAAGTGTTCAGGAAAGACTCTTTTAGATACAGTAGTCCAAGGAGTCTCACTGGTGTGGTGTGCTACACAACACTGTGTTTTCATTAAATACTATTTTCAATAGGGGCCACAATATTCAAAAACTTTCCACTCAGATACCTATTTAAAAACAGGCTGGTAAAAAAATAATTAATTAATTAATTAAAATGAGAAATTAATTAATTGAAAATGGCCTGGAAACCTATTGACAGCTGCTCATGTGTATCTGGATCCATGGAAAGTAAAGAGTTAGGCTAGCTTGGGAATAACAGAACTAAGAAGGTTGGAGGGGACTCAAAATATTTGGTGAATTTCTCCCAGTTCCTTCCTTCCCTTTCTTCCTGTGTTACCCTCAGATCATCTGGTTCTGAGAGTACTTGGAAAACTGATGTCACAAACAACATTAAAATTCACTTGTAAAATTCAGCCTATAACTTAATTCAGGCTGTACTACAGATTATTAGACACCGTGTGGCTTAAATAACAAGGTTCGTTTCTCACAATCCTAGAAGCAGGAGTCCGAGATCATGGTGTCAGCAGGGCCCTTTTTCCCCATTGCATGCTGACAATTTCTCTTTTATTCCTCACGTGGAAGGAAGAGGTGAGCTAGCTCTAGAGTCCCTTCCTTGGAAGGGCACTAATTCCAACTCCTGAGGACTCTTCCCTCCCAGCCTAATCTTCTCCCAAAGGCCCTGCTCCTGGTTATCATGATATGGGGGGGGGGCGGTGTAGACTGCGCCAGGTGAATTCTGGCGCATGCGCAGAGAAGGGGGGGCACACAAACTAAAACATATGCACCCTATAAGAATCAAAACCGAATGACTACCCCCGCAACTGCCACCCAGGCTAAGCAAAAAATGTCACTAGTCCCTTCCTTCCAAAACCCCAGTCACATCTACCTCAGGGAAGACCCCTTGTATTGAGAGCCCAGGGCCAAAGTGGGGTTCTGGGACTAGGATGCTAGCAAGCCCGCTCTGAAGGGAAACTGAAGGGGCGCTGCATAGGGGAGCCCATTCCCGGGACACTTCCACCTGACCATGTCTCGTGCCTAGGACCAGGGGTCCCTCACCCGGGATCCTTATTTTCACTCTGGGACTCCTGTCAGACCTCCTGGGAGCCCCAACTGGGGCAGCTCCTATTTCTTCATGGGGTTAGGGGGGGGGCACACATTTACCACACAGGAAAAAAAGCTAGAAGAGCTTTACCTCAGGTCCTGGGCAAGGAGGGTGTAAGAGGCGAGAAGGTCCTGAGGTGAGGAGGGCTTGAGGCCTCGCGCCGAGAGCGAGCGCATAGACGCAGGCGAGGCAGCAAGGAGGCGCCCCCCTCAGCAAGGTACGCATGCGCACCAGCAGCGATTGGGCCAAGGGTCCAGAAAGCCTATGGCAGGGAGCGCGCGTGTGCATCAGCAGCGGGCCTGGCAAGGCGTCAAGGAGACCATGAGCGAGCGGGTAGAGCGCGTGCGCACCTGCCGCAGGTCAGCCGAGGCGTCAAGGAAACCACGTGCAGGAAGCTTCCATGGGCAACGGCACCGGCTCAGACAAGGTGGTAATGAGTTTGGGCAAGAAATGCCGCTATGAAGAGCCTTGTGTCACCTGGTTCCCACCTGCAAGGAATCCTCTAGACCAAAGGTCAGCAAATATTTTTTCTGTAGAACACCACAGAGTAATAAATACCTAGGGCTTTGGAAACGAGACAGTCTCTACCGTTTTAACACAAGCAACCATAGACAATATGTAAACAAATGAGCAAGACTGTGCTCCATTAAAACTGTCTTCAACAAAACAAAAACAAGCAGTGGCCTGATTTTAGGTCACCAGCTGTAGTCTGCTGGTTCGTGCTCTAGATAATTTCCTTAGGAGGGGAACCACCAGGACAACTCAGAGTGGTACAGTGCACAACCTGGCTGCCGGGCCATGGAGCACATACACACCAACTCTGCAGGGTGAGGCCAAACTCCCAAAATGGTTTGAGTTTGCACTATAGAAGCATTTATTCACAGACATAAAATTAAATTGGAGGGGGATATTCTATCATTTAATAAAAGAAAACATTTCCAATAAAGCTTTTACTTTTTGTTACTATCAAAATATATGTGCATTGTTTCTATACTAATTGTAATGTTAGCTGGACCCTGAAGACTTTCGAATACTAACAGCCTTATGATTACGGAAAAATTGTTAAACCATATATGGATTTGTGAAAACTATGTACATTTTCGTGGCACTGCATGATTGTATAGACAATAAGACTTCAAAGGATTGTCAGAGCTGGGCACAGTGGTACTGCCTGTAATCCCAGCTACTCAGGAAGCTAAAGCAGAAGGATGGCAACTTGGAGATTAGTCTGGGTAACTTAGTGAGACTCTGTCTCAAAAAGAGCTGGAGATGTAGCTCAGAGGTAGAATGCTCCTGGGTTCAATCCCCAATTAGTAACCCATTCTTGTGGTTGTATGTGACGTGGAGTTTCATGGATGGTGTGTGTGTGTGTGTGTGTGTGTGTGTGTGTGTG